AGAATCATAGAGAGATTAGTTGTTCCACTGACGAAGTCGAACCTTCAACCCACTGTACAGCAACAGCACTAATTCCCACTGCACTATAGACCGTCAGCAGGGTTAGTAAAATATGTACTTCAGTTTACAGTGATTTGCAACTCTTTACGCTTGAATTACTGTATTATTGTTTCGCTCTCCAGAGATACTGTTAAAGTCCTCGGATAAGGCGGTAAATTTTGTTAAAGAGAAATTTCTGAAGACTGACAAAACGGTCCTGATAGAAACAGGATGCAACGAAGGATCTATCAGGAAATAAAGCACATGAAAAGCAGGACTGTTGCTTTAGTACAAGGGAGCAGCGCACATCACTTAGTCTCATGCACAGAAAAGAGGGTTTTTAATGCAAGGAAGAATGTGAAAATTCAAAAACTTTACAGAAAAAGAAACGTCACAACATTTCACACAACGTCGCCAAACGCAAAACCTAAGCCTTTGTAAGCACACGCAAAGCTTGATCAGCAGCGATTCGAAGGAGAATCTGGTTATACAACCACCATAGACTTTTTTTTTCCTTTTCATACTACCATGTTTTGGGTTTTTATTCTTCTCTTAAAGTTTCTTTTTCCTTTTCTATTTCAGGTCTTAGTTTGCACATCATGAATTTTTTGCGATTCTTGGTGAATGTAGGAACTGGTTGCTAGCTGCTAGTGTAGCTCGCGGCTATTGATAATTAAAATCAAATTAATGTGTTTTTTTGGCAGTGACAATAAGAAAAACTTCAAAAATGTTAATTGTGAGGTCCAGAATTTGGCTGTATTAGCAAAGTCCCAGCCTGGGAAATTTTTGCTTTCACCGCGGGGACATTTCGCAGTGCTTCCTGCAAAACTTCCAGTCTCTGCTGCAGCGACATTGTGATATTCTTTATGCTCTTGATTATTGTGGGAAGATGTTACTGAATTAAGCTGATGCTTCGTTCGGTCAAAACTGAGAGAGATTTATCGAGAGCAAGACAGAATTTTCCGAAAAGTCCAAGAAAAAATTTAAAAGAGACGAACTTGTTTTGTGACATTCGGCGTAAATATTTGGCTTCCTCAAAGCTGCGCATTTCCAATTCACTTTGTTGCTGTTCTTGCTGGTTTAAACGCTTTCTCCTGGAATGTTAATTCCACTCTGATGTGAATTTGAATTTTTTGTGAAGTCGAAGTCATGCAGGCTATTGCTAAAGAGCATTTGATTTTAGTGAAGTGCAGTCACAACCTAAGCATCTTAAAATGCTACGATTCCCTGTTTTGCTGATCATCCTCCTTATCAAGATAGGAAATAACTGCCCCAGGAATCTCGGAGAGCTGGTAACCTCGACATTCGTCACGAGTGTAACGCTGTTTTCACTGAGCCATGCGGATCAGCAAAAATACATACTTAGATACATTCCGATGGTGACCTGAATGACGCTATGAAAAGTAGCTTTACTTCAGTGCAGAAGGTCAAGGTCACGACTTGCTGTTGAAAAATAATCCCTTTACGATTCGTTCGTTTGTTTCGATGGTAAGTTAGTAATGCCTGGAGAGACAAAGTCGCCATCAGTTTGCACAAAAGCATTTTCAGAAGAAGAAGCCACCAATAGCTTTCCACGGGTAGTGCTGTTGCCACCTGCTACCTTTCCGATTATTTCCCATGTACCTCGGTCTCTCATAGTGAGCGACTATGGAGGAAGTTCTAACTTTTGACATACCTGTATGAAGGCCTGAATTCGAACATTATCCAAACAGCGGCGACCAGCAGTGCAGCAACAAAAAGGCCAATCGTAACGAATAGAAGTATAACCCGAAAATGATAGCTTTCACAACAGTTCGGCTCTTCACATTCCCACGCAAATGCTTCTTGACATTTCACCGTCATTTCCTGAAGCAAAAAATATTGGGCTGATATTACTGCTTCACAGAGAGGAGGCGACGAATGTAGTCAGGAACACGTATGTGCAAATCCCCCTCCACCGCTTCCCCCTCCCCTCTCCCTCTCTTTTCTCCCTCCCTCTCCTCCCCCACCCCCGCAGACCTCCTTTTGTTTCCCCGTAGTTTTATGAAAAGTATCCCGCAGGAACTTTAGAGCTGCAAAATTCTCGTCCTTACATTTTACAGATTACTTCGTCAGATTTCCATGCTCCATTGGAGGGTGGGCTAAATGCCACCAATGGTATAAAGCTAAATTATTCTTGCGGATGGCATAGTTTCTACATGAATAAAGTTTCCAAAATACGCGAGGTATTACACTATTGCTAAGCCACAGTCATAAAATGTACATTTGCAAAACTTACGAAATCAGGTGGGAGGGGATAAAACAGGAATTAGATATGCAAGGGTAAAATAGTTTTTCATTTTTCGTTTTGGAGCATTAAAGATAAATTTTACGAGCATTAAAGATAGCCTTCATCTTTCCGCACATATCAGTGATTTCATCAAGCCTATCTTGCCAAAGTGTAAAATTCAAGAACACTGTTTTTCTCTCGTTTCATTTGTAGCACAATTATTAATATGGACTCCACCTTACGAAACTTTGCCTATATATGGGCCGCATTTCGAGCCTATTATGGCTCCTCACTCAGGTGTTTTTCACAGTCAAGACAGTGATGGGTTTGACTCCCTCACCTATATCAGAATCAAACTACTCTTAAAACGAATGAACGAATCGTATAGAAAAAGAAGTTATCAGTAACCAATGGATGACTAACAAACTATAAAATAAGTAAAAGATTTCGCAGGGTTTCTGGCGATGAGTTGCTGGAACGTCAAACAAACGTTCAGGTTTAGACTCTTGGCAGATCATATCTTAATCTAGTCTTAAGAGCTCGGGAACACGTTTATCTTATACGTGACTGATATGAGGCTGTACTGATCATTCCTACTCCTGCTACTGTGCTCAGCTCCGTCTGTTCTCCAGTGTTTCCATTCCTTGCTTTAACATATAGGGAATAAGAAATGACGAGCTTTGGCGGATGCCTGTATCACATTTTCAGGCACTTCGAGGGTGTTACATGTGATGAAAAGCGATTTCGCCAAACAGTCAAACCGGGAAGCTGGAATTTTACAAGATAAACAAAACGAATACTAGTGCCAGTAAGTGCGAAGCAAGC